CACTCAGCCCCGAGCAACGCCTGTCACCTTCTGGGGGACCTGCCCATTCAATATGTGCGTTCGGACTGATGTTATGAAGCTATCGCTAAGAAAACGGGTGTATCACGAATGCCTCCGCCAACATGCTCCTCTTGCTGATGAGGCTTCCCGCTTGTATCCGTCCAGACCAGGGGCAATAGAGAGCACTTTGCTTTGACCGCCGGGCTTTGATCAGCAAAGGAGAAGTTCAGGGCATGGCTGGGGTAGAAGGACCGTTGTCCTGCCTCTCAGGAGCAGGGAAAGGAAAAGAGTAAAAAATCAGTGGAGGCAGGGGAGGGGAAGAGATGAGCTGGCTCTTGTAGCAGGATGAGCAGACTGGTTCTGTTGTAGGACTGATCGAGTCAGAAGACAAATCACGAGCCGCCTGCCTGAATACAGACATCCAGGAGAAGAGCGAGGCAGAGAGGAAGGGAATTGGGCTTAGGAAATTTGGTTTTTAACGGCCTGTCTTCTCTCTGCTTTACCTCCTAAGTACGAAGCAGTGGTGTCTTCCAAAACCCTGTGCAAAGCATATCTGCTCAGGGCTACCACTTCTACCTATTAAAAGGCTCCTGAAAAGCCAAACTGAAAACCTCGGGTGAGCTTCTAGAAGGATGTCCCATAGCTGGGGGGGCATTATAGAAATTGGGACTTTGAACAGGCAGTTGGGCTGCGGGATCTAGGTCTCAGGATAGGGGCTAGACAGAGGGTCAAGCAGGTAGAGGGACAGTGCCTGGACTCGTCAGAGGCTTAAAACACCAAAGGGTCCAGCAGCTGAGTCCTTGGCAGCAGGCTCATCACGGGCCAAGAGGGGGCCCTGATGCACTTGAGTCAGATTTTGGTATAACCTCGATGGATAAAAGCTCAAAGGAAAAATCACTATCTATCGCTCTCAGCTGGTATCCAAGGGAAGAGATGGGGTGGACCACGCTTCGTTTGCATGTCAGCTACCCACCATCCCACCCGGAAAGAGCTGGTCGGTTCTTGTTCCAATTCATCTAATCGAGGCGTGCTGGGTTAAAGGAACAGACTGATCCTCAGCGTAGAGCGAAAGGGCAATACGAATGAAGCTAAACACAGGGAAGGGGTGACGCCAAAGCGGCGCTCAGTCTTGCACAGCTGGGTGACGGTGCTCAACTTCTCTTCCTTTCCCCTGTTCGATGCAGTGTTGCACTCCAAGAGGCAAGGGCCTGGTCTGGGTGTTGCTTTCCAACTAAAAGAGCCAGCAGCTTGAGGAAGGGGCACGGGCTGCTAGCAGTCTCCAGCTGAAGTAATCTGATTTAACTTGATCTACTGAGAGGTCGCAGTGTACAGGTTCCTTGGAGAGGTGACAAGACCTGTGCGGACAGCTGCCCTGGACCGATCCCTCAGCCAGGAGCAGGCCCCTGACGGAAGATGGAGACAGCGCGCAGCAGGCGCCGGAGCGCATCAAGATGGGGTGAGAGGCTTCCTGCGGGTCGCTGGGGCTGCCGACCAGGTCAGTCGAGCACTTCAGTTCCTCGCGTCCATCACGTTGTGGTAAAGAGCGTGCGGCGGTGATCCGGGAGGGCTCTGCTTTGCTTTGTTTCCCTAACCAGGATGTCAGGACTCACGCCCAGCCTGGTAGCATGGCCACAGGGACTGTAGACTTGGCCCCTTGTTTCTGCCAGCACACCTGGCAGAGAACCACACAAGAAATCAATGAAAGCTTTGTGACCAACTTCACTGGGAACAGGATAGTCCTGTTATAACGGCATTGTGCAGTACTCGTTCCCCTGCCTGCCAGCTTTTTAATGTCATATGTATTCGTTTTATTCTTGTTTTGTCTTCCTGAATTCCTCTTTCTCCTTACGAAACATGAAAAAAAAATCTCCCCAAAGGAGGGACTGCACTTTGAGACTGATGTAATCTCATTACACTGCACTACTTTATTACTTGCTATGCTGCGATCAAGTTAATGAGCTGTTCCTAAAGTTTGATGCATTGACTTGCTATTGAATAATGCTGTGTGTCATTTTGATTGCACCTTGCTTTCATTCACTATAATATTACGTGGCGGGGGGGGAGCAACCAGTTCAGGCCAGACTCTGGATCTGAACTTCCTCCATATCGGAGCTGTGGGTAGCCACGTTCAGGTTCCAGCTCATTCCCAGCTCAGGGCATTTCAGAAGAAGCTAGACAAAGTGAGCGTCATTGTAAAATGGCTTTCAAAAATCAGGATATCACAGACTCCTAGAGCAGTAGGGCTACAACGGGGAGTTTAGGAGCCACCTAATGCAACCCCCTGTCTTCCTGACCTTCTTCAGCCATACAAATCCACTGCCTATCCATCCTATACAAATCCATATTAGCAACACTACACAGTTGACCCTGACAAAACCACAAGACATAACACCATAATCTGCCACAGGTAAAGCAGGGAGACTACTGCAGCCAACACCCTGCTGCGGGAAAGGTTGTTACTATACCCCCAAGAGAGCCAAGGAAGAGGGCCAAGCCCTCTGCTACAGCGGAAGGCAGAAAGCCCCTTACCCCCGTACTTATCACACCATGGGGTACAATTTATTCCGGAGCCCAAACGCAGCGCTGGTCTGACCCTGAGCGGACGGGCAAGACCTTCCAGCCAAGAACCTCTGGGTCTGAGCACCAGCAGGAACGCTGGAGCCCGGTCACAATCCCCAGCCCTGGAGGAAGCCAACACCCAGTGCCTCTGAGGAAGGCTTAAAAAGGTGAGAAATACTCATGAGAAATTACTGGTACAGCTATGCCTAGATCGTTCCCTCTTCTTGGACACCTCCAATGATGAAGAGCCCACAGCTTCCCTAGGGGTCTCTCCCACTGCCTCCCTGCTCTCACAGTGAAGACGTTTTTCCTGATACCCAATCTAAGCCTACTTGCTGCGACTTCAAGCCACTGGTCCACGTCCTAGTCTCTGCAGCAAGAGAGCAAAGGTGCTTTCCCTCGTCACATAGGTGAAGACTGCTGCCATGTCCCCTCTTCAGCACCTTTTCCACAAGTGGCACACGCCTAGCTCCTTCAGTCTCTCCTTGAATGGCTTGTTTTCCAAGCCCTGCATCATTTTGTTGCCTGCCTCTGGACCCTCTCCAACTTCTCCATATCCTTTTTAAAATGCAGAGCCCAGACCAGCACACAGTGCTCCAGATGAGGCCTAACCAGTGCCAAGTATAGAGAAAGGAGCCCTCACCTCCTGTCTTGCATCTAATGCTCTTATTGATGCACCCCAAACCCACATTTGACTCTTGTACAGCTGCAGAGCAGCACAGCAGGGCAGGGGCAGGGGCGCGGAGAGCCAGGCCAGAGGGGCCCCTGCCTAGGGAAGCTTTAGGGTCCAAGACAATAGGGCCCACTGCCTTCAGGGGGTTATAGGGTGCCTGCTGTGACTAAGTGCACTGATAAAATGCTCACAGTGACATTCATTTGGGGGAAGGAAATGTCAGCAAAGGCCCTGGATCAACAGGGAACAGGAAATAAAGAACACATAGCAAAATCTGTGCATGTCCCAGAAAAGAGCCTGCACTTTTAAACTGCAATCACAGCAAAGTATCCGCCACAGACCAGGCGCTGCTCCTGAACGCCGCATGCCAGGGGCCCAGCCTCTCGCTTCTCCAGGCCCGCCGGGCTGCTGCGGTGAAGGTGACGCCAGCAGCCTTCCTCCTCGCTGCCCTGCTCCTGCCTGTACAACTTTGCTGGAGCTGAAATCTGCTGTCTGCGTGGTCACGCTGAAAACTACTTTGGGAACCTCCGGAAGAATCCATCTGGCTCCTCTGAAGCGGTGGGAATGAGGAAGGAAGCGGGGACACTCTTGCACTGTGCGCCAGGGAGATGAGCGCTGGGCTTGGGAAGACAGATGCTGCGTGCCGTCAAAGGAAGATCCCGTCTCCCTCCAAAGAGTCATTTCTGCCATCCGAGATGTAGTAACAGCACCAAACGCTTCCAAAAGCCTGCCCAAATATACATCTTCTGTTAGCTCACCAGCCCTTTAGGAGTCAGCACGCGCTGTGTTTCTGAACTAAGGGATACTCGCTCCAGAAGGACACCCGAGAGTCTCGCAGCGACACCTGCACAAAGGCAGGGAAACCTGCTGACGGGAGTGGGCTGACTCCCGATTCTCACAGGCTGGACTGCGAGCAGCCAAGGAAAGCCTCTGCCTTGTCTCGCAGCATCCCAGTTAATCGAGACACCAACCGACCCTTGACGTGAACAGCCAAAAACAACCAGAAGTGAGACGCTTGCCCCTCCGGCTGGCACGCCGCTCGGGCTTCCGAGGGGGGCTTCCCACACCCCAGCGGCCACCACGAACGCCCTGCTTTGGCATCACTTCCTCTCCTGACACCTGAGTGCCGTTTCACTTAACAAGAGAAAAAGCCTCTACGTGTGTCCCCCCAGGGCCGGCCAAATCCAGAGGTGCAGCACACGTTGGGCCACTTGCCCGTACGCAGGCTTTCTCCTCGCTCCCGGAGTGACATGGTCACGTTGAGAAGTGGCCGGGGTGTCCTGCAGAGACGAAGCTTTGCCTCTCAACACACATTTGAGACCTGATCCTGGAATCACGTGCTTCGGGAAGTGCTTCCACGCCCAGCGAGACCTGCTGGGAGAGCACACATTTGCACACATATGTCCCTCTGTGCTACCTCTTGCAATCCCTACAGTAACTCCCTACACCTGAACCATGCAGACTACATGAGGTCCTAGCACAGCTGAACAACTTCCTGG